CTACTACTACTACTACTACTACTACTACTACTACTACTACTACTACTACTACTACTACTACTACTACTACTACTACTTACTACTACTACTACTACTACTACTACTACTACTACTACTACTACTACTACTACTACTACTACTACTACTACTACTACTACTACTACTACTACTACTACTACTACTACTACTACTACTACTACTACTACTACTACTACTACTACTACTACTACTACTACTACTACTACTACTACTACTACTACTACTACTACTACTACTACTACTACTACTACTACTACTACTACTACTACTACTACTACTACTACTACTACTACTACTACTACTAGCGGCGAGTGTGGCCACCGCACCTCCTGCAACTTGAGGCGTAGAAGAATGTCAAGATGCGTATGCCAAGATTTCTGTAGTCTTCTGAGGGACCCCCCCAGGGAAAGCAGGGCTGCTCCCGAAAACTCTTGAGGGCGTCTCGTTCCGACCTCCCCCATCATGTCTGCCTCCCTCTTCCCCTATGAGGGTCGTCCTCCAGGGTCGGCGGCACCGGCCGTAAGGCCTCAGCAATAAGGGAACACAAACCCGCCATGACTTTTTCTTGACCCGGCGGGGTCTCGGTGTACAGTCGGGGCGTTGACCTAAGGAACCCTAAATAAGGAACGAGGCCCCTTTTTCCATGAGTTAACCCTCGATTTCCTGTCGAGAACATAAGGAAATCCTGAGGCAAGCTGTGAAACACTTAAGGAACGCGGAGCCCCTCCACAACGAAAAGGGTTCCTTCTTCAGGGCCCCGACTGTAACGCCCTCCCCGTTGAACAACGCCCGGCGCGTACGACCGCGTGCCCCGCCAGCGTCTTGTGCGGACCGGCGGGGTGCTCTCTCCCGCGGGCAGCGGCGCAAAAAGTGGGCCCTTCTGCCCTCAAGGGCTGGCGGCGCGCAAAGGGGGTGGAGGGCGGCGCGCAGAAGGGGGTGGGGGGACGGGGGGGAAGGCTTCTTAGGAGGCTGCTTCTTAAAAGGCGGCGGCCTCACATCTTTTACATAAGGACCGCGCCTTCTAAGAAGCAGGGGTGCTTCTAAGAAGCCTTCCCCCCTCCCCCCACCCCCCTCCGCGCGTGGCCGCAAGGGGCCCCGAGCCCTCCGAGCTGGGCGCTGCAGTCTTTTCTCACGCCGGGCGCGCTCGCCCCATTTTTTCGGGCCCATGGGACCCTCACGGATCGAGCCGGCTCGAACAAGGAGGCAGGAGGATGGGGTTCGGGGGGGGGGGGTCCGGTCGTGGCCTCTTCGCCATGACGCAGTCGCTTCGCAACGACGGCTCCCAGGGAAGGCCCCCCCCCCTGGTGGCCCAGGCGGGGCACGAGAAGTGCACACCTCCTTCGAGGGCAGAAGATCCCCCCCCACCATCAGCACCCCGACGAGCGAGGCCGCGCCGTGGACGCACACGAGCGCAGGAGGAGCCGAAGAGGGCAGGGGCTGTGCAGGAAGCGCCCGGGGCCGTTTCGCCAACGCCAGCTGCCGGGGTCTGGGTGGTTTGTTTCCTCCCTGGACCCCTCGGGGCCCAGGAGGGGCGTGAAAAGGCGAGCACAAAGGGTAGAGCCTCTCGTGCCCGTTCTGGGCCCCGGAGGGCCCTTTGAGGGCACGAGGGGTGCACCTTTCTTCACCACGAGCGCACGAGCTCAAGACCGACCAGTCGGGCGTGTAGTGGCCCTGAGGTCCGGGCGTTGCAGTCTCGTTCTGGGCGCCCAGGGAGCCTCGCAGATCGGTCCGTCTCGAAACATGGCGCAGACGGATCGGGTCTAGGGCTCTGGTCGCGATTTTTCGTGATGCTGCATCTTTTCGCCCCGTCGGATCTCAGGGGAGGGGGGGGCGATAATCGGGAGGGCGAAACAGCGTACACCTATCGTGCCCCGAGGAGGAGCCGTCCATCCGTCACGACTCCAGATGGCGCCAGAATCCTCCTCCTCCTCCCCCTCCTCCTCCTCCTCCTCCTCCTCCTCCGCTCCTCCTCCTCCTCCTCCTCCTGCTCCCTCTTCCCTCTGCTCGTCCTTCCTCCTCCTCCTCCTCCTCCTCCTCCTCCTCCGGGAGTGCCCTCGCGTGCCTCCGGGGAGCCTGGCGTGCCTCTCTTGGCGCCTCTGGGGCCATCTCGGAGGCACCCCCCGGGCTCGCCTTCCTCGACCCACCCCCCCGCCCCCTCCACGCGCGACCACGCGGGGCGAGCCTGGCGCCCCTGGGCACCGAGGGCTGCCCCCGAGATGCTTCTCTGGTGCTCGCGGGCGCCTGCTGGGACCCCGCTCGGGCGGCCGCTCGGGCGCCCGCTTGGCGTCGTCGTCGTCGTCGTCGTCGTCGTCGTCGCCGTCGTCGGGGACAGGAAGCCCGTCCGGAAATCCTCTTGTTACCAGCCCGGAACATACCCCTATCCCTGTGCTGGGCACCTCCTCATCACGGTGCCCATCTTGGGGGTTCCCTTAGTTTTTGAGGGCGAAGCCCTGAGCTTGTCATCGCCTGTTGGCGTGTCAGCCTTAGGGATAGGGATAAGTTCGAGGCTGGTAATCTTGGAGGGCCCATGGGGAGTGCAGTCGAAGAGCGGCCAGCGCGGGCGACGAGCGCACGAGCCCCCTCGCCGAAGCCCCGGGGCCCGGCGTCGGAGACCCCAGAAAAGCGAAGAGCAGGCCAGGCTTCGGCGGCGAGCCAGGGGGGGGGGGGAGTGAGAAGGAGGAGGCCTTCTCACCCAGACCCCCTCGAGTCATGAAACAATGACGACGGGAGGTTTTTCGAGATTTCGGGCACCTGGGGCCCTCGCCAGGCCTCGGGACCGCCAAAAACAGCTCGTGATGCAGAACCGGTCCTGGGGAGCGGGTCGCGACGTTTGGGGGTCGATGCCATGAAGAACCCATGACGTCGGGGGTCTGCGTTGGAAGGCTCGGAATGCCCCCGGCCTCCTGCGAAGCTTCCTGCGCAGCCCCCGAGGGCACGGGAGACTTCTCCGAAGGTGCGAGGGGGCTTCTGGGCAGCCCCGCCGCCTTCCGAGAAGGCCTTCTCCTCCTCCCTTCCCCCCCGGGCGCGCCGATGGGTATCGGTATCGGTCAAAATCGGTATCGCGCCGATGGGTATCGGCATCGGTCAAAAAACGGTCAACATGGGCATCGGTCAAAATCGGTCAAAATCGCCGATGGGTATCGCGCCTCCCGGGGTCCCTCCGGCGCGGTTCTTTCACCCCAGAGCGAGCTTCGGGCGCCCCCGGGGGGCCCGAGAACGGGCCCCCCCCCCCGGGGGCCGGACACCACGAGACGCCGCCTCGAGTCTCGAAGCTCGAAGCTCGAAGCTCGAAGCCCTACTTTTTCGGCTTCGCATGGGTGGATTTCCGACGCGATTTTAAGTTGGGGAAAAAAGCCAAGGTAGGGCGGATCTGGAATCGGGGCCTCCCAGGGTCCCTCCGGCGCGGCTCCGTCACCCCAGAGCCAGGCTTCGGGCGCCCCGGGCCCCGAGAACGGCCTGGGGGCCGAAAACTACGAGACGCCGCCTCGAGTCTCGAAGCTCGAAGCTCGAGGTTCGCAGCACTCCCCCCCCCCAGTCTAAAATGAGCCTGGTAGGTCATATTGCATCCAATTCCATGTCGAAGGAATACGATATGGGGTGTGGATGGGTAAGATAGGAGAAGATCGATGTATCGGTCTTTCCCGCACATAGCGAATACCAAGTCAGGTATCCGGGCAAATAGGGCGCGCGTGCCTTGAGCCATAAGGCAGCGACGCACAGGCTATACTCCCGTTTACATATATCAGCTCCCAAAGAGCTACCCTTAAAGTCCCCCCCCCTCGCCCACCGCCGGAAAAAGGAGAGCCCAAGCATGGTGGAAGTAAAGATAGGTCGGGCCTGTCCCCCTCCAGGGGGATTTTGGACGAAAAAACATACTAAAAAGATACTCCCAAATGGTCAGAAATAGTCGGAAAAATCGTCACCAGACTAGCTTTACTATTTTTGAATATTCCCCCTGTAGAGGGACAGGCCCGACTTACAAATAGGGGCACCCCGTGTAAAGCCAAGGCTGCTCTTGACCCTCGCGCCGGCTGCGTGAAACCTCGCCAGCACGGGGGCCGACTGCAGTCTCTACAAAATTGAAGCGAGGTCGTCGTTGTCGTCGTCGTCGTCGTCGTCGACGCCGTCGCCGCCGCCGTCGTCGTCGTCGTCGTCGTCGTGGTGGTCGTCGCCGTCGTCGTCGTCGTCGTCGTCGTCGTCGTAATCGTGGTCGTGGTCGTGGTCGTCGTCGTCGTCGTCGTCGTCGTCGTCGTCGTCGCCGCCGCCGTCGTCGTCGTGGTGGTGGTGGTGGTGGTGGTGGTGGTGGTGGTGGTGGTGGTGGTGGTCGTCGTCGTCGTGGTCGTGGTCGTGGTCGTGGTCGTGGTCGTGGTCGTCCTCGTCGTCGTCCTGGAGGAAACCTGTACTGAGGCCCTCTTGGGTCTGATTTGACGCCTTCCGATGGCGCCGTCGGGCTCTCTTGGGGCCCTCATGGGGCAACACTCGGGCACTCTGGAAGTTGAGGGAGCTCTCTTGACGGGTCGTGGGGCCATCTCGGGCCGTCTCCGGCCATCTTACAGGGTGCTCTCCCGGGAGCATGTTGGGCCATTCCGGGCGCGTCTTGTGTGTTCCTGGGACCGCCGTGAGCTTCTTGATCTTGAGCCCTTTTTGGAACTCTCGGAGTTCCTTCTTAAAGCCATTTGAGAGGACACATGGAAAGTGCCAACAATGTACGGATGAAGAGAATATGTTGTGTCGAAAGTTCCCTCCCCCTCGGTGGCCCTGCGCAAATCAATGCTATGGTTGTTGCCTTCCCGCCTTCTCGCCCCCGATGGGCCACCGAAGCCTCAAGATGCCCGCAAGATAACCCAAGGGAGCTCCAGAGGGGGCCAAGAACGGCTTCAAGACGGCCTCACAAGCCACGAAGAGCACCCGACGAAGCTCCAAGAGAGCCCAACAGGCTATTCGTTTGGCTCCGAAGGTCGGGACGCGAATTGAGCACACCCCATCTTTGATCGATGGTCTGCGGATCGGTCGGAGAAGGCCTCGAACGACCCCAAGAGGGCATCAAGGGTACACTACGAGAGCCGAATGCCTCCAAAAACGCTTCAAAGAGAGCCACAACATGCTCCCTAAAGGAATCCGAGAGGCTCCCTCGCAGCTTCCCGTGGAGAGGTTCGCGGAGGTCTTTTGAGTTGACTGCTAATGTCTCCACCACCGAGAACTCAGAAACCAACCAGGAAAGTGCCTGCGCGGCGCCCCCATGGAAGGTCCTCCAGCTCATGGGAGAGGACACGACATTGGAATTTGAAGGCGATAAGGTGGTTGCCTCGTCCTCCTCCTCCTCCTCCTCCTCCTCCTCCTCGTCCTCCTCCCCCCCCTCCCCTCCTCCTCCTCCTCCTCTCCTCCTCCCCCTCCTCCTCCTCCTCCTCCTCCTCCTCCTCCTCCTCCTCCTCCTCCTCCTCCTCCTCCTCCTCCTCCTCCTCCTCGTGCCACTGAATGCTCCTGCACTCCTAGCATCAAAGGATATTCGCCTGGGCAAACCTGGTCTCTGGACGGGCCCGCAGGGACACGCGAAGCGTCGCACCATTCACGTCGACCGAAAGCCTGCAGCAGTGTGCCCGCGACGGCGCCTTCAGCCGCGGCCACGGCCGCCTCCACCGCGGCGCGCACGCGGCGCTTGAGGCCGCGAGCCCGCGCGCCACGCAGGCTGCGTGGACGGGGCGCGACCCTGCCAGTGACGACTCCACCCGCAGACCGCAGGAGTGCGGAGGCCGCTGCGCCACAGTTGAGCAGGGACCGACCGTCCCGGCATTCCTATAGTCATACCACGAAATTTTCTTAGAACCCAAAAATGTTCTAAGAACAAAAACATTGTTCTTGGACCATAGACCCGATGTGACAAAACAAGACAGACTCCGCCAGAAATGTTCGAAGAACGTTTCGTGGAAAGCACAAAAAAAGTTCTTAGAACATTGCCTGGTAGGGCTATAGGCGAGCCCGGACGCTTCGCCGCTGCTTGACACAGGGCCCGAGCAGGCCAGCAGACCCGTGCACCGCCGCTGCGCCCCTACTGCAGGGCGCAGCACGGCCGCACCCCCGGCGGCCTCCTCGCGCTCGGGAGCCCCCTCCCTCGCATGTAGGCCTCGAACTCCCGGAAGGAGAGCGTGCCTGGGGCGGGCGGCAAAGGGGGGGTGACTGGAAGTATTAAGTCAGGCGTGGCTCCTCCTCCTCCTCCTCCTCCTCCTTCTCCTCCTCCTCCTCCTCCTCCTCCTCTCTCCTCGCCCATTCTCCTCCTCCTCCTCCTCCTCCTCCTCCTCCTCCTCCCTACAGGGGGATTTTGGGCGAAAAATAAAAAACACCCCCCAAAAATGCCCCCCAAAGTGGTCCAAAAATGCTAGAAAAGAAATAGTCCCCAGACTGTTTTGGGACAATGTTGCTGCTTATTTTTGTGGGGCATTTCTTATTTTTCGTCGGAAATCCCCCTGCAAGGGGGACAGGCCCGCCTTCGTGGAAGCCGGGGGTGAAGAAGAAGGCTTTGGGGGTACCTTTTGTTTTTCGTCGGAAATCCCCCTGCAGGGGGACAGGCCCGCCTTCGTGGAAGCCGGGGGTGAAGAAGAAGGCCCCCCAATGGGCCACTTCCGGGCCCCTGCGGGGCCCCTGCTGGCTCCCAAGGAGGAGGCCTCGAGGTGCCCCTCCCGGGTGCTCCTCTCCACCCCCCCATTAAGGCCACCCCCCATCCCAGACCTCCTCGCGTCGTGAAAAAATCACGACGGGAGGTTTTTCGCTATTTTCGGCCTCTGGAGGTCCTTACCGGGCCTCGGGAGTGTCAAAAAACGACTCAGGACGAAGAACCGGTCCCGGGGAAGGGGTCCAGACCTCTGGGGGTCGACGTTGTGAAAAAAATCACGACGTCGGGGGTCTGGGATTTAGGCCACCCCCCATTTAGGCCACCCCCCATTTAGGCCCCCAAATGGGGGGCGAAGAAGGGTGCTCTTCTTCGCGCCCCAATTGAGGCCCCCCCCCCCCGTTTGCCACCCGTCCGAGCTCCTTGCTTCGAGAGGCCGGCCTCCTGGACGAGCGACAGGACCCGATGCCCTCCGAAGTGCTCGCCCAGGACTTCGAGGACGTTCGACATGGATATGTGCCCGCAGTGGCGCACGTCGAACCTCTCGAAAGCATAGTGCAGCAAGTCGTCGGTCAGCTTGATACGCGTGTCCAACATCGCCGCCAGGAAGTCGGAGTAGTGAATCTCCTGGTCGTGGTCTGCCACGAGCGCGTCGAAGATCTGCCGGACCTCTGCATCGTCCACCTGGTCCTCTGGCAGCTCCTGCCGCAGCTCGCTGAGGGTGATGCGGCCCTCGTGCTTGGCGTCCATCTCGAGAAAGATGTCCTCCACGGGCGCGCACTCCTTCTCACTGAGCGACCACGCAGCGACCTGCATGCAGCAGCGGCGGAACACCGGGCAGTGGCTGAAGCTGCGCAAAGCCTCTACGGTCATCGGGTCCACCTGGTGGATGCCCCGGGCATGCCGCCTCGCGATCCAGGGATGCTGAAGGGCGCCCTCTGCCGTCAGTCGTTTCCCTGGACCCACGGTGAGCAGGGAAGCGATGAAGTGCATCCCCTCTTTCGAGACGTGCTTCCACCTTCCGGGCACGACCTTGAACTTTCCCTCCACGGTCTCCGCAGCATTGGAGAAAGGCCTGTAGCGTGCGAGCAGCATGAAGATGACAACGCCGAGGCTCCACATGTCGGACTGGCTTGTGCAAGGCCGTCCCAGCACTACTTCTGGGGCGACGTAGGACCGGGTGCCGCATGCGCCTCCGGACACGCCTCGCTGCGAGGGGTCCCAGCGCCTGCTGAAGCCGAAGTCGATGAGCTTCAGGTGCTTCGACTCCTTGGAATCGTAGAGGATGTTCTCAAGCTTGACGTCTCCATGGACGATGCCGTGGCTGTGGATGTAGTTCAATGCCAGGAGGACCTGCCAGGCAACCTCCGCGGCCTCGCGCTCCGAGACAGCCTCCTGCGCCTTGACGCGGTGGAACAGCTCCCCCCCATCCAGCTGCTCCATCACCAGGTGCAAGGAGTCGTAGGACTCGTAGACATCGTATAGGCGGACAACGTTCGGATGGTCCATACACAGGAAGAGTTCGGCCTCGGCGGCGACTTGCTTGCGCTTGTCGGTCGCAACCTGCTTCAGGCTAAAAGACTTCACGGCGTACAGCTGACCAGATTGACAGCCTTTGCGGCTGGCACATATCACGCTACCGCTGACACCAGAGCCCAACACCTGAGACGTTAGGGTGTAGTCGTCTTCGATCCTTCTTGGGAGCTGGTGGTACCGTGCCGAAAGCGCAACGTGTCCAAGCTGCGCCTCGAGACGAAAGAGAGCCTCCGCGAGGATTGTGTTCGGCTTCTTCGAGCCAGCGCGTACCATGTCCGCCACAGTGCCGTAGGTACTGAGTGGAGTGCCCCCCATCGAGTTAACTCGTGATGTTGTACATGCTCTTGAAATAGCCCTGGTCCCCAAGACACGGGCACTCACGGCCACACGAGAACTTGTCAGAGGCCTCGGGAGCGTGGCTAAGGGTCTCAACCTCACATATGCCCTGAGATGGTATAGTGGGTCCGTACTGGCGCTCTCCTGGGATACAAGATTTCAAAGTGAGGGTGCCGAACGGTCATTCACTGCCCCTGGATGCGTGCCTGAAGGGGGCCTCCGCGGTGCGGATTGTTGGTGCTGTTGCTGCTGTTGGTGGCGGCGGCTGTGATGGTGGCGGTGTTTCTGTTGTTGCTGTCGCTGCTGCTGCTGCTGCTGCTGCTGCTGCTGCTGCTGCTGTTGCTGCTCTTAGTGCTGAATCTAATGTACGAAACAATGCATATTTTGTTGGCCCCCTAAGGGCGTATGTTTTGGCCCCCTATAGAGGCGCCCTGGCGCTCTCGCCCAGGCGCCGGCCGCATTCCCTCTGAAGCCGAGGCTCCCGGTCGGGCGTTGCGGGGGTGCGCCGATACCGACCCCCCCAACTGACTACCTACCAAACCACCCCAACCCAACCCGAAGACCCGAATTTGACCCGAATTTCGGGTTGGGGGGGGTACGGGTTCCATGTGTTTTTTCGACGTTCCCCGACCCCCCCCCCCACTGGAAATGGAGGGCAAATTGAGGCCTTCGGGTTGGGTTGGGGTGGTCTGGTAGGTGGTGACCAACAACCACAATAACAACAAACAATCATTATAAGACTGCTCGCTCTCACTGGCACGCGTGCCTCGCAATCCGTATACCGCAACCCTCGATACCTGCCCACTTCGTCTTCAATTGCACCCCCTTTCGGGGGGAACATCTTCCTTGTAGGCCGCTGACTGAAGTGCGCAGAAGTCTCGAGCGAGAGCGCCGTTCCTGAGTTCGGGCGCCTCTCTGGCCAAGGGCTCTCGGAATACCTATGGAGAAATATCGAACGCGAGCCCTTGTCGCCGTGTCCAGGCCTCCACCAACTTGCCTGAGTTACGGGAAAGTCTTGAGCGAGAGCGCCGTTCCGGAGTTCGGGGGCCTTCTTGGCCAGGGGCTCTCGGAGTAAATCGTGAGGAAGTATCGAGCAAGAGCCCTTGTCGTCGTGGCTGGGCCTCCGCCAACTTAATTGAATCGCGAGGAAGTCTCGAACGAGAGCGCCGTTCCTGAGTTCGGGGGCCTCTCTGGGCAGGGTGTCTCGGGGTAAATTGTGGGGAAGTATCGAGCGGAAACCGTTGTTGTCGTAGCTGGGCCTCCAAGGGGCCACATTTAGGCTCAAGCCAACGCTCGAGCGGGAGCCTCGTTTGAAAGAACGTGTAGCCGGCGTCGAGGCGAGCGCGCGCGGAACCGTCTGGATGTCGACAACAATGGTTACTTATGAAGAAATATTCAACAGCAACAGCAACAGCAACAGCAACGCCATCAACGCAAACACCAACAAAACAACACAAACAACACCAGCAGCAACACCAACAACAACAACAACATCAAACACACACAACACAACAGTAACAACACGAGCAACAGCAACAACAACACACACAACCACAACACAACAACAGACAACCACAGAACAATAACACACACAACCACCACCAACAACAACACCAATATAAACAACAGCAACAACAACACCAACAACAACACCAACAACAACAACAACAACACCAACAACAACAACAACAACAACAACATCAACACTAACAACAACAACATCAACAACAACAAGCAATGTGAGACTGTTCGCTCTGATCTGCTCGATGCCCGCCTTTTCGTCTTCGATCGTGCCCCTTTTGGGGGGTATATATGTTTTCCCTGCAGGCCGCGACCCGGCAAGCGGCGGGGCGGCCGCGGACCGTCGGCCTGACCAGCGGCAGCGCTGATCAGCGGCAACCCGACCCCAAGAGGAACGGACAAGGGACCGACCACGACGACGACGACAAGGACGCGACGACGGCGACGACGACGACGAGCAAAAGCGAGAGCGAGAGCGAGAGCGACAGCGCGAGCGACAGCGGGGCCGCGAAGGGCAGGAAGGGGGCCACGAAGGGCGACAGTGGGGCCACGAAGCGCACACGTAGGACAGCGTGGGGGCCACACAGGGCGACAGCGGGGCCGCGAAGGGCTGCATCTGGGGCCACGACGGGCGCGGGGGCCACGAAGGGCATGCGTAGGTAGGGCCGCAGAGGGCAAGGGCGGGGCCACTGAGGGCAGCAAAGGGGGCCACGAAGGGCAGCGAAGGGGCACAAAGGGCGACAGCGGGGCTACGAAACGCATGCGCGTAGGGCCACGAAGGGCGCGAACAAGCGGGGGCCACGAAGGGCATACACCTACGGGGCCACGAGAGGGCGACCAGGCGAAGGGCGGCAGCGGGGCCTCGAAGGGGTGCAACGGGGCCACGAAGGGCGCAACGGGGCCAGGACGGGCGCGGGGGCCATGAGGAGCTGCAACGGGGCCACGAAGGGCAGCGAAGGGGCAACGAAGGGCTGCAACGGGGCCACGGAGGGCAGCGAGGAGGCCGCGAAAGGCTGCAACGGACCCGCGAAGGGCAGCGAGGGGGCCACGAACGGCAGCGAGATCCCGATTCCTAAGTAAGCTGTGAGGGAGTCCTAAGCGCGAGCGCGAGTCCTGGGCGCCTGAATGTCGGGAGCGCGGCGCTTGAGCGACTTGCGGGGAATTCCAACTCAAGATCGCGATTCTTGAATAAATTGCAAGCGAGTCTCTAGCGAAAGCGCGACTCCAGAGCGCCGAGAAAGCGATTCCCGAAGAAATGGTGAAGAAGTCCCGGGCGGGAACGCGACTCCCGAGTAAAAAAACAGGAAATCTCAGGCGGGAGCGGGGGTCCAGGCTAAATTATAAGGAAATCGCAGGCGAGAGCCGTTGAACCCCCAGTTAGGAAAAAATAATTATTGTTGATCCCCCCCGCCCGGTGCACATTGTTTTTTCGATTGAAGTGCCCTTCCCGGGGCTCGCACCCAGGTTTTTATAAAAGTAAAGTCTTTAGATCAAACTGTATCGTTAACCCCCGGTTTACAACAACAGCGGCTCCCGCCTGATACTTCCTCACAATGTATTGAAGAATCGCGCTCTCGCTTAGGACTTCCTTGCAATTTACCGCCGGATCGCGGCTCCCGCTTGATACTTCCTCACAGCTTATTGAAGATTTGCGCTCTCGCTTGGGACTTCCTCGCTACTGACCACCGAATCGCGGCTCCCGCCTGATACTTCCTCACAATGTATTCAGATGCCGCTCCTCGACACTCAGGAATCGCGCTCCCGCTGCATATTGCCTGGCGGTTCAAGCAAAATTTACGCCTCAACGACCCGCCCGCTCGACCCGCCCGTCTGGGCCTGCCCGCCCGACCAGCCCGTTAGGGACTGCAGTCGCCGCTCGCTGCCCTTCGCCCGCCTTCGATGCCCCTCGCTGCCCGTGCTGGTTCGGCGGTCGCCTTCGCTCGCTGCCATTCGTGGCCCCGTTGCTGCCCTTCGAGGCCCCGTCGCTGCCCATTGTGGCCCCTCATTATACACTCATAACTTGTCTCAAGAAATTATTTGTTAAGAAATGGAGACCCAGCTTTGGTGAATTTCTTAACCCCGGTGCGAGACCCAGCTTTCGCCGCCAAATTTCTTAACGATTCGGCTGAAGGGTTGTGCTGAGGGGTTGTGCTGAGGGGCTGTGCTGAGGGGTTGTGCTGTGGGGTTGCGCTGAGGGGTTGTGCTGAGGGGTTGTGCTGAGGGGTTGTGCTGAGGGGTTGTGCTGGGGTGTTGAACTGAGGGGTTGTGCTGGAGGGTAGTGCTGACGGGTTGTGCTGAGGAGTGGGGCTGAAGGGTTGTGCTGAGGGGTTGTGCTGAGGATGAGGGGTTGTGCTGTGCTGAGGGGTTGTGCTGAGGGCTTGTGCTGGGGGTTGTGCTGAGAGGTTGTGCCGGGGGTTGTGCTGAGGGGTTGTGCTGAGGGGTTGTCATGAGGGGTTGTGCTGAGGTGTTGTGCTGGGGGGTTGTGCTGAGGGGTTGTGCTGAGGGGTTGTGCTGGGGGGTTGTGCTGAGGGGTTGTGCTGGGGGGTTGTGCTGGTTGGTTGTGCTGCGGGGGTTGTGCTGGGGAGTTGTGCTTAGGAGTTGTGCTGGAGGGGTTGTGCTGATGAGGGGTTGTGCTGAGGGGTTGTGCTGAGGGGTTGTGCTGAGGGGTTTGTGCCGGAGGGTTGTGCTGAGGGGTTGTGCCGGGGGTTGTGCTGAGGGGTTGTGCTGGGGGTTTGTGCTGAGGGGTTGTGCTGGGGGGTTGGTGCTGAGGGGTTGTGCTGAGGGTTTGTGCTGGGGGGTTGTGCTGAGGGGTTGTGCTGAGGAGTTGTGCGGAGGGTTGTGCTGGGGGAGGCTGCATGCTAGGGTTGTGCTGAGGGGTTGTGCGGGTTGTGCCTGAGGGTTTTGCTGTGGGATTTGTGCTGAGGGTTGTGCTGGGAGGTCATGCTGAGGGGTTGTGGCTGAGGGGTTGGCTGGGGGCAGCACAACCTCAAAAACCAACACAACCGCCAGCTCAAACCTCCACACGACCTCCAGCACAACCCCCAGCACAACCCCTCAGCACAACCTCCATCACACCCCCCCAGCACAATCCCCCAGCACAACCACCAGCACAACCTCCAGCACAACCTCCAGCACAACCTCCAGCACAACCTCCTGCACAACCTCCAACACAACCTCCAGCACAACCTCCACCACAACCTCCTGCACAAACTCCTGCACAACCTCCAGCACAACCTCCAGCACCACCTCCAGCACAACCTTCAGCACAACCTCCAGCACAACCTCCAGCACAACCTCCAGCACAACCTCCAGCACAACCTCCAGCACAACCTCCAGCACAACCACCAGCACCACTTCCAGCACCACCTCCAGCACCACCTCCACCACATCCAGGAGGTTGTGCTGGAGGATGCGCTGGAGGTTGTGCTGGAGGTTGTGCTGGAGGTTGGGCTGGAGGTTGTGCTGGATGTTGTGCTGGAGGTTGTGCTGGAGGTTGTGCTGGTTGTTTGTGTTGTATTGTGCTGGAGGTTGTGCGGAGATTGTGCTGGCGTGT